AACTTATTATACCTGTAAATACCAAAACATTTATGGGAACTATTTATTTATCTGAGAAAAAAAACATGTAAAGTGAAAAATATTTGAACCAAAAACAACACAACACAAAATGATTGAAAAACCGAATCCAAAATTCAAACTATATGAAAATGTAACAAAAGGATAAAGTTAAGAAATAGGTAAGAACATTTAACTTATCATACAAATAGATTTCCAATTGAGTAAATTCGGGTATCCGATCGGATCTCGAACCTGTGCCATTTTATTAGGTAAAAATATATATCTAACCGAACCCGATCCGAACCGAACCAGGTATCATGGGTTGGTTTGAGGCTCCGAAGGACTAGAAATGAAGCGGCACGCACAAACTACATCACATTTCACCGCCTCTCTCTGGATCGAACGGGTTTAGTGTGTGTTCCTGTGGTTGGTGAGGGCTGACGACGGCGCGGGCCTAGGAAGCAACTCCGCCATCCACAGTGAATACCATAGTTCCAGTGTCCGGCACAAAAAGAAGAAAGCTCCGATCGTGAGTTCTTTTTTCCTTTCTTTGGTTTTAATCCGATGGTTTCAATTAAGGGTCTAGGTTCGTGAGAAATGTCCCAATTCCATTCTAGTTTTGCTAAACTTACCCTGAATTCTTCTCCTAATCGCCAGATGCACTGCAAAAGCTAAAGGATATCGCACATGATTGTGGGATCGAGATATTCCCTTAGATCTCCTGCAGGGGATACTGTCCCGCCTTGGATTAAAAGCCAACATCCGAGCTTCCTCTGTCTGCAAGGCATGGTTTGAATCAGCTGTTTCTGTCCGTAACTTAAAGCCTTGTCCCTGGCTTTTGTGTGGAAMATTCAAAATAAAGTYTCCCTCTGCATCACCCTACATTCTTSTTAACCCACTACGCTCTYCATCTCAAACATATAAGCTCGACTTCCCAGAGTTGAACGACCATGCAATCTGTTGTTCTAGGGATGGTTGGGTGCTTGTCAGATCATACAGTCACAAATATGCACTCTTTCTTAACCCTTTTACCAAGAACCACTTCTACTTACCCCAAGGCGAATTCACTTACACTGATAATTCCTTAGCTTTCTCTGCCGCTCCTACTTCAGCTAGCTGTTTTGTCATCTCCTACACACACCTATCTTATATGGGTACTGTAGCGATCAGTACTTGGCGGCCTGGTCAAACCGCATGGACCGTCCATAGGTTTAGAAACTGTGA